TAAATTGATAAGTAGTAGTTTTGTGTCTGCAAACCACCGTAACATTAATATTTGTTAACTTTTCATATCATCTAAAGCAAATGCTAGGTAGTTTCGCTCCAAAAGTTGTCAATACATTCAAAATTGCATTAATTTTACATTTTCTTTTTTTGTAGTGAATCCCTTTTGTCTTTCAAGTTTCAAACTGCAATGTTAGAGAGTTAATACCTAATGATTGTACGTTCTGCATGCGGATATGCTTTTCATTGCCAGAAATAAAACAAAATTATCAAATTATATCATTATTATTTTCGATTGTCGATTTTACAAGTAATTGAATTCTGATTTGCGATTTGACGTAAAACGTAGATTGTTTTTAATACCAGCATTGAAACACGTAAGAGTACTGCATCAGCTAGGCAGATAGATTGTTCAACATCTATGATGAAAAAAGAATTGTCTAGCTAAACGGTTCCCAAATCTTTTCAACTGCGGTAACCCTGAATGATTGACCTTCTTTTGACGTAATCCCGAAGTGAAGTTCATAAGCTATACTGAACATATTAACCAACTGACTATTTTGAAAATATTTAACTTGAGAATAAAATTTTTTCAATGATTGGTCTAGCTTTCTAACAAGTTATTATTGCCAATTCGTAAAAGTATTGAATGATCCTAAACTTGCGGTTTGATTTAAAGTTCCCTATTCGTAGTTTTGGGTGATAGTGCTGAACACTCAAGACTATAGCATCGGCTATGGAGATCAGTTGCTTGACATCGGTAAAAAAAACTTAGATATATTTCGACCACTATTGTCTATGACTGTAAGTAATTAAAAGCGCAAACCATGATTTAAGATTTAATTGAAGGTTTTCAAATTGCATAGCCTTTTGAATGTAGCATTGAATAATGAGTTTAGCCTTAGCTACTCAAAATTGCTTGACATTAGTGACAAACAAAAATAAATAAAATGAAAGGAGATAAAAAAAGCATTTAGTCATACAGAAAGTCATTAGAGTCAATTAGTTGGAAGTAATTAAATGCACGAACGCGTGATCCCCAATTTATGATTTGAAGTTTTTGGCAGTATTGAAAGTATATAACACCATGTGTGTTCAACGCATGTTCAACGTTAGTAATAAAAAAGAAAATCTAGTCCTACTACCATCGATTATTGTTGAGGGTTATAAGTAATTAAGTGCATGAATGCCTGATCTCCAATTTATGTTTTGAATAAGGGTTCTCTGTTTTTCATAATATACATCGATATTTATCGAAGAAAACTGACAAAATCTATACAATCTATAAGCAAATTGTTATCATGCTTACAATGAACTTTATTTACATGAATTAAAGTAAAACTAAAAAGCACTATTACTATGATTTTCTGAACCTTTCAGAAACGACGCACTTCCCAGATAACAGACCACATTATATTGAATTTTCATTTTTAATTGGTTGGCACAGAAAGGTTGACTAATTTAGTCATTTTTTAAACTTATTAGAAACATTAGTAAGCAAAGTTGGATTCCTTGAAGATTAAATAAAGGTGTGCAAAAAAAAAAAAATCTCGTCTTTTAACCTTAACTTACGGGTACTGTAAACCTTTTTTTTTTTTTTTTTTTTTTTTTTTTTTTTTTTTTTTTTTTTTTTTTTGCCCTTTTTTCATTCTAGCTTTGTTCAGGTTCTCAAATGAAAAATTTTATTTGTGTTGAAAACTTAATGATAAGTTCAAGAGTTAAATTATCATTAAGATTTATAAATTAACAAGAACAATGTTTATAATTTAACCTTCACTTTTAAAGTGTTAATGAAAGTACATGAAAGCATGAGCGAAAATCTTGTTTCAGTGATCATCATAAAATCTAAAATTAACATTGAGGAAGTGAATTTATCCGCAGTTTGAGAACTCTTTCTACACTAGATTTGCGATTCATCCTCATTTGCAGAAGGTTTTTCTAGACTTGTTTTGTAAATACAGATACAATCTCGCAATCGACAAATCAATGCAAGCCTAATATCATAGCGCGTAGAGTTACATACTTAAGTTTAACATTGTTTCAAGTTTGCATGGTTTATTTGCTAATAATTTATAAGCCTTGTTGGGCTTTGTGATAAATGTTATTGCTGACATTAAAATCAACCTTACTCTGTTATCTGAGCTTGTGAATTCATGGTTTTTCTTCGCATGGTTTAAGGATACTTCTGGTAATGAGATCACAAATACTTTTTCACTTACCCTCATCCATGCTGATCTGCAAACTCCGTCCAAATATCCATGAATGAAGACTTCTGTTTGGTGCAGGGGGTCGAAATTGGAGTTGCTGGGAAGCTTCCCACCACATAAATGTAGAAACTCTGGATTGGATGGGTTTTTTGGCGTGAAAAGAAAGAACAAAGTTTTTGGTTTAAGAAAGGATTCGTGAGCATTTCTCGAGTTGTTGGGAGAAGAAATCCAATGTGAGCCAGCACAGTCTGAGGCTTTAAAAGGTTGGAAACAGAAAGCGGGGTCTTGTTGGAATATTTTCTTTATGAGTTCATTTTCCCAAATCGTTATGCCTAAAATATTTATTTACATGAAATCAATACAAAACATTTACAGTGCTTTCTACAAAAAATAAACAAACTTTGCGAAAAAAGAATATTAGTTTGGAAAATATTGCCCGAAGAAACATGCTTCATTTGGACAATTTTCTCTAGACCAGCACTTCATAATAGTCTGAACACTTCACACATGATGAGATTAGTGGATGAAGGCTCTGAATAATATTTTAGTGAATTTGACAAGATTTATATATTTACAGTTGATAATGAATACTATGCCAAAATGAAATCTATACTATTTCTTATTCTCAAGCTTCCAGTTGGCGAAATTTATAAGTCCCTTGTTGCCAAAAGACAGGTTCTGTTACTGTTTATTACTCGTCTACTGTTTATTGTCAAATGCACTTAGATCATTTTTCCGCTTCAGAAACACCCAGAGACTGCAACTTGGATTCTTCATCCACTGAGATGTTCTGAATTTGAACACTTATCAAAATTAATGTTGCATGATTAAATAAAACTAAAGTAAGATCTTACCCCCGATAAAAGTAAATTTATTACCAAATTTAAAAAATTAAAATTTTTACCCACAATTCGCTCAGTGTCTCGTGATCAGTAATCACCTAAAACTATTCATAATACCGTATAAATTAGTATTAACCTAATTAAGGTGTTAAAATAAAGCATATATCCGTTAAAGTTGAACCATATTATTGGTACACGGAATCACTATAAAAATGCAAGTTTAATACGGCAGCCTTATTACGGTGTCAAAATATAAATTTAACCCTGGAACTATGTAATGAACTTCAAAGAGATCTAATTTGCGACATGTTATTGCGCAATTGAGCTTCATATTAATGAAACAGCAAATCTGAATAATACTATGGTAAATTGGTGCAGTAAAATTTTCAACAGAGTAAGTAACCTATTTAAATGATCGTGTGGTGTTTAATAAAAAATGTTTCCAAGTTGGAAAAAAAATGAGTTGACGTCATCGCTGTTTTGGTTGTTCAAATTTACGTTACAAAACTTGAAGTTTTAGAGGGTGTGTAGAAAAATGTACGATGCAATAAAAAATGTAGCATTCTATTACTGTTGCTGTCGTCGACTATTAAGGCAGAGGGGGTGCGAATATAATTGTTTTCCAGTGGCGCCATCTATGGTCAAGAATTCGAATGCTGCCACACCCATATGTCACATCCGTTTTATAGGATGGACCCACTTATACATCCATTCATTCATCCACAGATCGTAATTTCGACCTGCACCAGAGAACGATCAATCTCCGATTCAGTACTCACAGAGGTATAATTTGTTATGGGATTATGGAGGACTTTGTGACCCGACAGATTTAACACGCACCATTCACCATTTATTCGGCGGCAAGTCTTCGGCTGGCTGGTCCAGAGCGCAGCCAAACAACTGTTAAACTCGTATTAAAAAATACCGCGCTGGTTGATCATTAACCATTGCTTGCTGCAAGATGCTATGCAATAAAAGATTTGAAATTTGTCTTGGGCTATTTTCACTTAAAAACTTTTCGTTACGTTTTTATTTATTTATTTATTTTTTATTATTTTTTTAAAGTTTTAATTTGTTCGAAAGTTACTACAATTTTCATTGTTTTCGTGATTTCAATTTCAAACATTGCAATGAACAATGAACTTCATTGTTTCGTATTTTTTTCCCACTTTTTTTTCCTTAAAGTGATTATCATTTATTCATTGATGTAGAAGTATTTTTTATTCTCCATCGAGATATTTATTTTCCTAGCTAGCTCTTGAGTTGATATCATATGTAACAGCAAAAAAGAAATAACTAAAACAAAAAAAAAAGAGAGGAAGGGGGAGATTACATGTTGCCAGATATAAATCTTAACACTCATATCGAAATTTTTAAAATTGTAAAAGATTCGAAAGATATAAAATACCGTTTCGAACTTAAACTATCATAAAATATTAGGTTAACGTTATATATTTTTAGCAAGTAAAATTACTACTCATTTATTACTTCTTATTGTATCGCACATTTTGCATTTCTAAGTTCAATTTTTTTTCCAAAATAGATACAGTTATACAGGGGTTTTATTATACTTTTTGTTGCATTTATACAAGTACTTGATCTTACCTAATTCGGGAGTGGAAGTTTCTGATCTAAAATTAGTTTTGTCCGGATGGCTACATATTTTTTCCAAAATGATGTTTTTAGTTTACTTTAGTTTTTGAATGAGTGTGCAAATTTATAAGGAACGTAAAGATGCATGTATACTTGTATCTATGCATACTTGTCATTTATCATGCATACTTGAATATACTTGTGCATATATACTTGTCTGTTCCTTTGAAAAAAACTTTTAAGGCAAACGAAATGATCTTAACGTAATCTAAAATATATTTTTGCTTTTTCTTACTACTTCCTATGTAGCAGAGAAGTGGGGACGCCTCGTATGGAGTATCCCTAGTACCCTCGAGTGCATTATAAAAAATTCCTGGTTTGGAATATGTTATTAAATTGCATAAAAACTGTAGCTCGTAGAAAAACCGATTGTTGGTTTGAAATTAGCAACGCGAAAATATCTTGCGTTCCGATCAACTAAAGTTTTCATGCAACAGAAAAAATTCAACAGTGTTTTTTTCCCTTTCCAAATCCAAGTAATTGCTCATTTTTCATTAAGATATGCATAGTAGTAAAATATTCTATCACGAAATTAAAGTAATTACATACTTTGAAAACGAAATGACATTTTATAAAAATATAATGCCAACATTTAAAAAAAAAAAAAAAATTATGAGCAGGCAATTACGGGGTTTGTTGAACAGAGTGAGCTGGGGGCGAAGTGTTCTAGTGATATAACAATTTTATTTTATTACTTTTAATTTATTTTATTCAATTGTATAATTTTTATTTTTAGAAAAATAGATTTTCTATGAAAAAAAAGAGTCTTTAAATTTCAAGTTAGAAAAAAAAAATTCGAAACAATAACTAGTGAAGAAAGAGAAAAATTCCAGTAACTGAATTGATATAAAATTTCCGTGTTTTCCTTATTATTTCTTTTTTCGCAGAATTTATTTTAGCACGTGATTATAAGAAGTAAAACATTGTCAGATGCTAAAATTTTTAAATGATGTTTAAAAAATTACAATGAGCTATGCGATGCACCTGGTAGATTTGACACAAGCGAATAAGATGACTTCGTGTTTAAAAAATAGCTTAAGTACCCTCGTATGAAGTTTGATGGCTAAAATTAACTATTTTTATTAAACAAAAAACAAAAATTCCTCAATCAGTAATCCATTTGTCAACTTGTACTGCTTTTCATACTGCTCCCTTATGTTTTCTTCACTGTCTGATAATGGGATACATGCAAGTGACATACTGTGGGTATCTCGAACCTGATTGGTTGTTAAAACGTGGCTTTGTTTACGTTAGCAACTGTTCTTTCCATTTAATTTCGAGTTGACTTACCCCGTCAAGTATCAATTTTCTTTAGTGATACATTCTATAATCCTTCACAAAGATTTTTTCACAATGATTTCAATTCTTTCACCATATATTTCTTACTTAAAACAAAAACAGGCACGAAGCCATATAGAACATGAGCAAACTAATTATGCATCAAAGCTTCTGGGAACACAAAACAAAAATATCTCACTTTTTACAATAAAATATATAAACTATTAATAAATCTAAGAAAGAATTATATTTCAACAAATTGAATTTGGCGCTGTAGCTAATTAATTTCACGTTAATTAACATCTCAACTTTGACACGCCATTTTGTTTTTTGACGATCAGCTGGCGCTGACGTCATACGTCACATGAGTGGGTATATTTGATCTTCTCCTCGAAGGGCAAGTACCCAATGGAATTTTTTTTAACTGCATTAAAACGGAGTCAATCAGAATTTTCTTAATAACCAATTTAAAATTTATGACGAGAAGGATATTTTTCAGTGCATTTAAATTCTTTTCGTATCTTTTTCTGAAACATGAAAGAAAAAAAAATTGTGTATTTAAATTTTTTTTATAGTATTTTTATTCAAGGGAGGTGAAACTAAACACTTGACATTTTTTTCAATGACATGTAAACCTGACGCGAAGTACAGTGGGCATAATAGAAAATGAAACATCTTGATAACTTTTCTATTATCCAATTATCGTATTTTTATGTACTGAGTTAAAATCTTACTGGTACGATGGCATTTTGGAACTTTAAGCATACTATTTTTCTTACGCAGACGATATTTGAATTTCACATTCTCAAAATATAGAGGGTGAGGGTAAGCCTATTCTGGAAAATTGTTTTTCAATAGTTTAGATTAATTTCAATTTTTTTGTATTATATCATGCTTCTCGAACTCTTTGTGAGAATCTAAAAATTTCTGAGCGCATGAAACTCTTTCATCGAAATCTAACTGAATAAAAATAAAGATTTCATTTAACATTTATTTATTATTTACAATTGATGAATATTAAAATGGTAGAAAAAGTCTTATAAGTTAATCAAATATCTGCATAATATTGGGAATAGTAATTTCAACTGACGAAATCCAAAATTTGAACGGAATCGTTTAAATGGTTCTCGAAAAATGAAAATTGAAAAATAAAACTATTCTGAAACTTTATTACAAAGAAACTATTAGGCTGATTTCGTTTGAATGCAGTGTTTTGCCATTTAAAATTACATTAAATGAAATTAAGCCAAAATTTGTTGCTTTTAACTTCAGAATTTTCTAACCATTTTTTTGAAAAATAAAAAAAAAAATTTAAAAAGGAAATTTTATAAAAACTTTATTTGCATCAAATTATCTTTGGATTAACTAGCCTTAAAACTGAGAACTAAATTCTTTTCAAATGTTTAAATATTAACGAAAGAAAAAAACAAAAACAAAAAATGAAACTAGATGAACCAGCCCAGAGATTCAGAGAAAAAACGCCTTTTATGGCTGATTTTCTAACTTAAAAATATCGTCTGCTAACTGACTAGCATATTTAAAGTTAATTTCTCGAACCA